TACTCTCTCTCTCTCTCTCTCTCTCTCTCTATACAACAGTCACAATTAGAAAGTACCATTAACCCTTTACATCGAAACTACCCACTAAGCATGAAAAAACTCCCCGTTTACTCTCCTCTCTCTCTCTCTCTCTTATACAACAGTCACAATTAGAAAGTCCATTAACCCTTTACATCGAAACTCCCATAAGCATGGAAAAACAACTCCCCGTTAATCTCCTTCATGCCCTCCCCCACCACAGGTACTTACCAATTCTCCATCCAATACACCTTCTCTAGCTAACACATCAGATTAGTTGTTCTCTATATACATGGACAAACCTGTTCTCCTTGTTATTACATAACTTCATTATCTCTTCCCACAAAGTTTTTAATGACCATGGCACCTCCATCTCCATTTTGCACCACTTAATCATCACGTTTAGGGAGTCTCCTTCTACCATTAACTTTGTTGCCTAATGATTGAAGCTCAGTTCATTCGCAGTTGCAATAACATACTTTTTTCTAATGCTTCCTCCTTCCCCGTGCAGCCTAAACCTGAATATTTAGGATTCATTGACCAAACATTTATTAGATTTCCCTTGTTATCTAGGAGGGGGAGAATTAAGTGAAATAACATCAAGTGCTCCCTATCATTGTTTGGGTTTCTGTGTTTGGAATTTTTTCCTGTTTATTATTGTATTTCATCTTGGAGGAAAATATGGTTGCCATTTGTCTGGTAAAATTGGTAACATAAACTGACAAGGGAAATGTAATGAATTTTCATCTAGATGGTACTCGTGCTGCTATTTAGCTTCCCACGATGCATCATTTGCATGCATAGTAGTATTGATGGAAGTAGTCAAGAAGCAATAACTGGAGTTCCTTTTTCAGTTACAGTTTGTATGCTGTAAACAAGAGGAAACAAATTTTCTACTGGTTATTGAAAGATAATACTCACGGGGCCATTTTTCTTCTCTGATACCATTTTGGAAAGTTTAGTCCTCATTTAGCTATAGAACGATAAGAGATAAACAGGACAGGATTGTGCTGCTTTTGGTCGTCTCGAAAAATAGGGGGATATCCCAGAGCAAGGCCAGTGGACCTTTCGAACTCCAAAATGAAAGGGGATAATTCTCTTTGTGGGAGTACATTAAATCTTTTCAAAATCTTGCGGACAACAACAAAAAAATAGAAAACAGGAATACAAAATAGTCTTTTAATAGTTATGGTCTTTGGGCACAGTGGAGCTTATTTACCTCAATCGACTGCAGTTTGAAGTGGATGCATTTCAACCCATCTCTTAGATTTTAGTTGGTTTTATTCGTTTGTAGATGTTGTATTTGGTTTTATTAGTTTGTAGATGTTGTTTTTCATATTTGGATTTGGCTGTGAAATAAGGCCCTTAGGGTTATTTCTTTGGCTTTTCAGATTTTTCAACCTTCTAGATTGGGTATTCTTAACATGTCCTTATGGACATTCTTTTACCTATGGGGCTTCTCCTAGCAATGTCCATCCTTATTGTTCTAGTCTTCTAGATATGCCAACTTTTGTCCTTTATGTATTGATTTGAATACGTAGTTCTTTGCTTATCAATTGAACTATGCATTGCTCTTTTAGATCAAGAATGTTTGGAGATCTTTCGTGTCCCTA